GTCAAGATCAACACAGGATTGTGTAAACATGACAAAAGATGTTGAGGAGAAACTATCTGTTAGTTTCTGCTATTGATAAACTTACTCATCAAAATAAATAAATAAATTTACTTATCCTATCACAATTTATTTTCTATCATAAAATTAATAATTCCTGTAAATGATTTTATCTAGTACAGAGGATATTATTTAATTATCCTATAAAAACTTGTAACTTAATCATTTTTATTAAAACAAAACTAGTGCTTTAGTAAATATTAGACACATAGTTTTACAATTCAATATTTTGTGTGCCTATCTATCAGCCTTCTTTATCCTTTATAAGTACCTGATGCACAGAAGGCAATGAATGAATAAATAAATGGCCTTGAATTCTGCCATTTATCTAGATAGTTTCCTCATCTATAAAACTAGAACTGGGTATGATATACTCTTAATCAGCACAATCCAATAGAACTTTCTACAATGATAGAAATATATATCTATGCTAGCCAATACCATAGTCACTAATAGAATATGGCTACTGAGCACTTGAAACTTCCTTAGTGTAGTTAAGAAACTAAATTTTTCTTATTTTACTTGAATTTACATAGCCGTACATTACAATACCAACTCACCCGTTGTTTTGCTATCAAGTCAATTTTGACTCACAGTGACCCTGTATGTCAACATAGAAATGCCATGTAAGGTTAATCTCCATGTCTCTCTCCCTCAGAGCTGCTGAGTGGGTATGAACTGCAACCTTTTTGTTAGGGTCTGAGCACTTCATCACTGCACCACCAAGGCTCCTTCATATGACACTACCATATCACACACTGGTATTACAGGGCAGGATCCTGGATGAAAAATATCTCAAAATGCAATCCAGTAATTACTTACAAATTGGTGTGTGTATTTATATATATGAAACAAAAGTTTATAAAATAATACTTCCCTTACTACATATGAAGCACTAACATTTTCTTTTCTGGCCTACTGAATTTCACCTAAGAAAAATGCTGATCCAACCGATAAAATGATTTTATAGGCCTTCACTAACGCTCCTCTTAGCTACAAAATACTGTGCTACATACTAATGATTACCTTAAAAATATATGTTCAATATTTATTTTGTAGCCTTACTGACAGGTTGCTAGTTTTAGGTGCCTCGGATTATATCAGTTTTTACTTTGAACACTTTATAATCATTCCTTAATCCTGTAAATTGTATTTTCTTTTAAAGGCAAGAATAGAATAAAAAAGTTAACATTTATCCCTTGGGTTTTTTTTTGCTTTGGAAATGGTTGGATTTGATTTAGTCATGATTCTAATTGGGTTTAGACAGACAGGAGTGGTAATGATGGGGTCAAAGTACTAAAAGGGATAGGTAGCCAAGGGAAATAGTAGGATACAGAAGGAGAGAGTGGAGAAAGGATGTTTGGGGATAATGTTCACAAAAAGGAAGAACTAGATTTTCATTACCATCAACTTCTCTGAAATTCATGAATTCTCCTTCCAGCCTGATAAAAGTCCTACAAATTTTATCATAACTTTATCTAACCTAATTGGAAGGCTAGAGAGCAGCGGTTCTCAACCTGTGGGTCGTGACACCTTTGGGGTTTGAACGACCCTTTCACAGGGGTCGCCCGATTCATAACAGTAGCAAAATTACAGTTACGAAGTAGCAACAAAAATAATTTTATGGTTGGGGGTGTCACTACAACATGAGGAACTATATTGAAGGGTCACGGCATTAGGGAGGTTGAGAACAACTGCTATAGAGCAAGCATGGTTCCTAACAAAATCATGTATTATAAATTTTTAACCATAAAATACTTTTAAACCCTTAATAATCAGGATTTGCTTGCCTAGTTTAATATTCTGCCATTCCTACCTTGAACTGCCCACTCGAGTCTGAACTATATGCAGTTCCAAAGATTTGTGCTAATTCTTTCTTCAATTGACTCACCGAGACTAATTCTTTAGGTCTTGACTTAGCTATCAGTTACTCAAGGTAACATTCCCAATTTTAAGATTAGACTTTATTCCCTCATGTATGCCTATACCTTTCTCACCACTGCAAAGCTCTATTGTACTATAAATGCCTGTTTACCTATTCCTACTAAATCTTAAGGTCTCTATTTTGATTTGTTAAGTGCTTTAAAAGTGTTCAATAATTATAAAATCCATCCATCAATCAAATTTCATCCGCCTAGTCTACTGTCTTCCACTATTCTTGTCACTTAGAGTGGCTTCATAGTTATAGCATATAGAGATCTTCCTTATATCTGTCCTCTATCACCATTTGCTGTGGATGCCTATAGCCCTTAATGTTCATAGCATGTACTTGATATATAACTTAGTATCTTATAATTTGTTATTCTTGTAATGAATAAGTCCAATCTGCTTAATGAAATTGTACAGTTCTGTGACTCCTGGTCTCATTATCTCAAGCACAGTACAATGTACAAAAGAGACATTGAATATCTGTCATCATAGACTCAAACTGTATGAGGTGATTTTTACTTTTTACAAAGCTGAGAATCCTTTAACGTCATGCTGATGAACAAGTAGTGGCAACTCAGTTTTTGTCAATATATAGAAAACAGATACTATATATACATATATATATACTTCTATATATGTCCTGAAGTATATCAAGTACAAATAATCAAACCATTTCTTAAAAAAAAAACACATTTCTTAAGTTAGAGGTAGTTATGGATGCAAGTACTAAGAGATGCACTACCACTAGTTACATCCATTAGTTATGGACAAGTACCTTATGGCTTCTGTGCACACAGAAAACCAGTTGTATTTTTCCAAATCAATGGACAATCGTGTCAACATAAGAATTTAGGGAGGGGGGTGGGGGGGTGTCTCTTGGTACCCACCGGGGCAGTTCTACCGCGTCCTACAGGGTCTCTATGAGTCGAAATCAACTCGCTGGCAGGGAGTTTTGCATCTTTTGAACTAAAAGATAGTCATAGTTTTGGCTCATCAAGGAGCGCTGCCTGCCAGCAAGGGAGCTAACTGATGCTCACTCCATTTATCATTTACTTATAAGCAGTTTGGTGCCCAAATGAGTACTTCTAAGTTAAATCAGCACCATATGCAAATTGGTCCCAAATTCTGTAAAGGAGCCCCGTCTTCCTGGCATTTAAAAAGGCTGGGTGTCAAAAAGAAAGAAAGGCTGGTTTGGGAATGGTATTACTCACCTAAACTCGCCAGGGCCCCAGGTAACCTCTGCCCGGTGGCTCCCGCCCCGGTCCCCATATGCAGTCCCCAAAGGCTTTCTTTGCCCCCTCCTCTAATTATTAGCCCTAGCTTCTTTCATCGGATCCTGCTCCAGGTTTGTCCTGACACTAGTCTTCTGGGCACGAACTCCCGGTCACGAGGGCAACCCCTTTCTGCATCGGTCCCTTTGCCCTTCAACCTTCTCTTTCACGCCAGCAAACGCCATCTCACCTGGCAGAGTCCAGGGGTCCCCACGGCGCCAAGGGCTCGTGCGCGCCTTCGCAGGACCGGACCGCAGACAGACACTAGCGGCCTGACCAGAATCGCCGAATGCCGACGTCTGCCGAAAGCCGCCGCCGCCGCCGCCCAGCGCCAACAAGGTACAGGTAGCAGCGCCATCTTGAGCGAGGGACGCGGGCCGGCCGCAGAGGATTGTGGGACACTGGCGGGCCACGCTCAGCTGGCTCCATGGGCCCCCCTCCCCCTGGCCTTCCCTGGACCCGAGACCGGAAGTGCTTTATAGCTGAGAATTCGGAAGTTTGGGCGCGGCTTCGTGTTCTTACACCACCTGCGCTGTCGTGAAAGCGTTCTCTTACTGTTTTTCGTTTACGTTTGAGCAACAAATCATGTTTCAGTGTGAATAGCTCCCCACGACTGAATTTGTTAAATCTCTCGAGTCTAGCTTGTTTGTAATTGGGGTACACTTTCCATTTCCCCTATGAATATTAGTATCTGCACACCTCTGCGCAGGAATAAGTAGAACAGTCATTAATTTCGCCGTGGAGAAGCCTTTATCTTGTTCGATTCATTGCCTCTCCATCTTGTGCTTTTGCTTAACACTTCTTTTCTTGCATAGCTTGCAATGCTTTTCTTTTAGGTCTGTTGCCCCTAGGACAGTTGCACGCGCGCGCACACACACACACACACACACACACACACACACATCTGCCCTCCTAATTTGCCTCTTTTTCAAGCTCTACCATTCGCTTTTGGCAACGGCCGTAATGTTGCCAAACATTTTCTGAGGGATGGTGAAGTGAAATGTGTGTAAAGAAGTCCATGTTTAAAGACAAATTGATCATTCTGTTGTCACCACTACAATAAAATAAAATGGTGTCAAATTCTTTTTATTTGGGAAACTGAATTTTCAACATAACTGCCACCTGAAACCCTTTTATATATTCATTACTTCAGCTTTAAACCTTTCACACTGAGAATTAAATAATTATGAACTCCTTACTTAGGGTGATACTATTGCTAAGCGTTGGACTGCTATCTTCAAAGTCGACAGTTCAAATCCAGTAGCCAGTCCTCCAGGGAAAGACCACACTGTATGCTCCCGTACATATTTACAGCGCCCCAGAAACCCTATATAGGGCCACTATGAGTACGAATCGCCTTAGTGGCAGTGGGTGGTGGACTAATGACAAGTTTGGTGAAGACAGCTAGTTTTACCTTGTTCCAAGATTTATAGTACACTCCAAGGTTCCAGGGGAAGAGATGCTTCAGTTATTTAAGGAACAGTGTAGAATTGTCTAACTGATATGAGAGGAAACTATGAAAAGGACATGTTTCAAAGCAAGAAGGTATCAGCAGGCAGCATTTTCAAATTCAGAAGTCCAGGGAGTGTGTAGAGGTGTCGTAGAAAATGAGCAGGGGCCAGGTGATCCAGGCCTTTGCACTGAATTCTAATGTTACCAGGCCTGTGAGGAGTCCCCTGGTCTCCCGCCACTGCTCTGACGAATCAGAGGTGCCACAGCAAGGCTGCTCACCCAAGAATCAAATGTGTGCGCGCGCGCACACACACAGCTTGAAAGCGCACCCTTAAATAAGGTCTACTAGTAAAGTAAATTCTCTAGAGGGAGAGTGGGCAGCTCCTCGCAAATGTGAAGAGCCCATTGGAAAATAGTCACTGCTGGAAAACAGTGGTAGTTTTTCCCTCTTCCTCATGGGATGGGGCTAGGGGCGTTTAAGGATGAGCTTGCCTAATGATTGACAGCAAGCTAGGTTATATAATAAAACGTTTTCTGCGTATACTCTTTCCCATAATTCACCCTGTTGTGATGAGATTCACAAGCTAACAATGTAAATGTGCATATAATGAAGCCAGGATGATAGACATAGGTCAGGATATAGGTAGATCTCCACCTGAACCTGCGCCAGGCAGGCAAAGTGCCTTATGGTCCAAGTTCCTTCTATTCCGGTTGTATTGACCAGCCCTCAGTCCATTCCTTGCTTCTCATTGGAGGGTGGTTTGCTTGCTTTTCTCACCTTGCTGTAGCTTCATACTAGAACTAAGAAGCGGATACTTCATCCTGTAGCCAGGGAAGGCTTTTAAGGAGGAAATTAACCAGGTTGGATTTGTCTGTACATTAAATTACTCTGGCTTAAATGGGAAGGTTGAATTGGAGGGAGTTCAGATTGGAGTAATGAAATTAAGGCAGTAGTTCAGTCATAAAATACAGGCCTGAGCTTGGCAGTAGCAGCGCCATTAAATCGATTGCAGCAATAGTAGAAAGTTAGAATTGACAGGACTTGGTGGCTAATCAGGAGCCCTGGTGACTTAGTGGTTAAGTGCTTGACTGCTAACAAAAAGGTTGGGGATTGTAAACCCCCAGTCACTCAGATGGAGAAAAATGTGGCGATTATTGGAACAGAACAGGGGTATTCTGAGTCATTTGAAATCAGGAAAAGATGCACAATCAACTCTCATTGAACCAGCAGTCAGTCAAGCAATCAAACTATGTCTTGCATTGGGCACATCTGCCCCACCAGACCTCTTTAAAGTGTGAAAAAAAAAAGTCAATTTCAAGATTGAGGTGCACTTGGTCAAATTTATGGTATTTTCAGATGCCACATATATGTGCAAATGCTAGACATTAAATAATGGGAACCAAAGAAGAAACAATACCTTTGAATTATGGTGAAGATTATTAGCTATAATGTGGACTGCCAGACGAATGAGCAAATCTGTCTTGGAAGAAGTACAACCAGAATCCTCCTTGGAAGCAGTGATGTCAAGACTTCATCTCATGGACTTTGAGCATCATGTGTGGTAGAGTAGTTAGCAAAAAAAAAAGAGGAAGTCCTCAATGAGATGGATTGTTACAATTACTGCAACAATGTACTCAAACATGAAACAATTGTGAGGGTGGGCAAGCCAGGAAAGTGTTTCATTTTGTTGTATACAGGGTCCCTATGAGGAAAAACTAAGTTAACAGTAACTAACAGAAGCAATATAAATTTTTTTTAACTCACTGCCATTGAGTCACTTCTGACTCACAGGAACTGCCCCTGTGGGTTTCTGAGACTGTAGCTCTCAGTGGATCCCAGAAGTTTTACCATTGCTGACCTTACTGTTAGCAGCCCTACACAGGGATCCATCAGAGGCAATTGTTTTTAGGTGACAGTCCCTGGAGAAAGACATGAACAAGAATAATGCCCTCCAGGGACTAGTCTCTCCTGACAAAATGTACAAAGTACTTCAGATGAAATGTCACCAACCTTACTTCTAAGGCACATACTGGCTGTACTTCTTACCAGACAGATTTGTTGGTTCTTTTAGCAGCATATGGTACTTTGAATATTCTTCACCAGCACCATAATTCAAATGCATCAGCTCTTCTTAAGTCTTCCCAAGTCAATGTCCAGCTTTCACATGCATGTAAGGCAATTGAAAAATACCACGACTTGGGTCAGTTGTATCTGAGTCCTCAAAGTAACCTCCTTGCTTTTTAATGCTTTAAAAAGGTCTGGTGCAGCAGATTTACGAATGCAATGTGCATTTAATCTCTTGATTGCTGTTTCTATGAGCATTGATCATGGATCCAAACGAGGAAATCCTTGACATCTTCATTCTTTTCTCCATTTACCATGATCCTACAATGATGTTTCAATTGTGAGGAGTTTGATTTCTTTACATACCGAAGACTGAAATCCTTGTTAGTCATCTGCGAGTGCTTCAAGTTCTCCATTTCAGCCAGCAAGGCTATGGCATCAGCATATTGCAAGTTGGTATTAAACATTTCTCCAGTCTTGATGTCTCAATCTTCTCCATATCGTGCAGCTTCTCTGATACAGATTGAATAAGAATAGTGAGAGGATACCACCACGATGCACACCTTTCCTGATTTAAACCGGGTAGTAATCCTGCATTCTATTTGCAAAACTGCCCCTTGATCCATGTACAAGTTCCAAGTGAGCACAATAAAGAATTCCCTTTCTCCTCAAGGCTATCCATGGTTTGTTATGATCCGCACAGTCAAATGCCTTGGCACAGCCAATAAAACACAAGCAAACATCCTTCTGGTATTCCGTTTTCAGCCAGGATACATCTGACATCAGCAATGACATCCCTTGTTATCTTCTTCTGAATCCAGCCTAAACCTCTTGTCCTCCCTGTCAATGTGCTGCTCCAACCAGTATTGGATGATCTTTGGCAAAATTTGACTTGCATGCGAAATGAATGGGATAATTTGAGCCTTCTGTTGCTTGCTTCATACGATGGGTTTGGGAGTATTTCATCCTTTCCTATAGTTTTGGAATAGTTTTAGCAGAATTAATGTCATCTCTTCTCTACATGTTTCATAGAATTTGCCAGTGGAGCTGGCTTTGGCCAGAACTCTTTTTTTGTTGAGAGTTTTAATTTATTACCTCTTCTATTCTTTCATGGTAGGTGTGAATCCTTGGGCAGGATTGTCAGTGATTTGGCAATTGAAGACTAAAAATCCTCGTGATGTGACCTAACACAATGTAGTCAATTCCTTAATGGGTTCTGAGGTGAGCAGTCAAGCAGTTTTAAGGGTGGAATGCAACCTCCTCACTCAAGTCACTACACGATGCCATTGATAGGAAGTTTCCTCAAGGTGTGGCCTACTACCTATGTAAGTGGATGCTATGAATAAACTTTTTTTCCTTCTTGATGGGTCTGGATTCTGCATCTGGCTCATCAACCTTCAGTTCTTTGGACTTGATCCAACAGTCTGCTATATTGCCCGCCTATCTTTGAAGTCTTCAGTGGTCGCCAACTGATCTGCTAATACTGGATTCATTCATCTCTGCAGTCACAAGCTGTCACCTTCCTGCCAGTCTTGGGTTCATCGGCCCTCACAACTATATGAGTCAAGAGAAGTCTACAGCTTAACATCTGACCCATGGACTTTGAACTTACCCAGCCTTAGACTTGACCACTCTGTAACAGTCTGAACAATTTTCTTGATATAAATTTCTTTGTCTTTGTACATATATAGTATTATCACTGGTTTTGCTTGTCTAGAGAGCCCAGCCTAACACAGTGGGTCTGTTCGAATTTTCTATTGCAGATTTTGTTTGCTGGGGTAGGTAATGTTTCTCTAGAAATTTGTCTATTTCAGCTAAGTTTTCCTTTTTTCTTTTTTCCAGTACAGTTCTTCATAGCATTCTGCCATTATCCTTTTTA